CTTATTCAACTGAGCTATCTCCCTGGCCCCAAAAAAATCTGTTATCAGGGATTTTTTTTTTTCCTTTTTTTTTTTTGTGGAACCGGGGATTGAACTCAGGCTCTTGCACTTGTCAGGGAAGCACTTATTCCACTGAGCCATCTCCCCGGCCCCTGGGGAAGCCTAGGCAACTTAGCAAAACTTTGTTTCATGATAACAAAAAGGGTTGTGATGTAACTCAGTGGTAGAGTGCTTACTCGGTTTATACCAGGCCTTGGGTTCATCCCTAGCACTACAAAAACAGAACAAAAGGTCCATAAATAGGATCAAATTTAGCATCTTGCAGGATGATCATTTGATCAGAGATGATGTTTCTTGTGGCCACTTTAGTCATGTATCTATGGGTGTCCAGGCAGAATATGGAACAAGGACTTCTTCCTGTAAAGGCAAGAGGGTGCAGACGGGATAATGAATGAGGATTTGCCTAATGCTGGCTGAGTGGTGGTGCTCAAGTGATGCTAACAGATTGTGTGTGTGTGTATGTGCCTGTGTGTTAGCAAATGTCTGCTGGTGGCAGTGGGCATGTTTCTGGCACACAGAAGGAAATGGCCTCTCCTCCCTTCCTTAGACATGTGCACACCGATATGAGTCGAGGCAGCGAGTGGACCAGATCCTAGAGACGCGGGATGTGATCGGCCGCTGCTTCGTGTTAAGCCAGGACCTGGCCATCCACGATGACTTGGATGGTGGGGAGTGGAAGTTCTGTGAGGGACGGCCCCAGGGCCATGAACAGTTTGGGTTCTGCCAGCAGGGCACAGCGGCTGCTTTCACGCCTGACAGCCATTATCTCCTCTTTGGGGCTCCAGGAACCTATAACTGGAAGGGTGAGTTACTACTTAGGGGGAGAAGGGAATCAAAACTTCTCCCTTCCTCGAGAGAGATGGTGCAAGCAGCACTTGGCCAAGCATGCCCACATATTCCTGCACCCTGGGGCACTGCCATGCATTCTACCCCATCCTGCTAGCCCACACACAAAGTGGGGGGTCCCTCCTGTCCGCATGGCCAAGTGTTCCTCCACACGCTGGCATGGGCCCTCACCTGCATGGCTGGGCCTGCCCACCCAGCCTGGCCCGCATGCTCCATCACCGCAGCCCACACCTCATCACCGCCACTCCCGTCTCCACATGCTGCCACTGGCTGAGCTGCCACTCGGTGAGTGTGATGCCATTTCGAGGAACCCCAGGATGCCTGGGCTGGGAGAGGGCAGGGATGGTGCTGGAGAGGAGGGGCTTCCCTGTGTGCCCGTCTGATTTCAGTGTCCAGCCTGAGGGTGCTCCTTGTTCCCTGCCCTGGGCACTAACTGGACTGTCCTTACAGGCACAGCCAGGGTGGAGCTCTGTGCACAGGGCTCACCGGACCTGGCCCACCTGGACGACGGGCCCTACGAGGCGGGGGGAGAGAAGGACCAGGACCCCCACCTCATCCCGGTCCCTGCCAACAGCTACTTTGGTAGGGACCCCTCCCTGGGCCCAGAGCCACTCTAACCCTCTACTCCTCTCTCTTGTCCTCCCTCTCCACACTCCCATCCTTCTGTCTCTGTCTGTCTCTCTTCTCTTTCTTGGTCTCTGCGTCTCTTTCATTTTGTTCCTCTACCTCTTCCACTTTCTGGCGTTTCTGTCCTATTCTGTCTCATACTCTGTGGACCCTTCTCTGGATGTCCTTTCCCTGCTGTCTTCCCCCCTCCTGCCCCACACAGGGTTGCTTTTTATGACCAACATTGATAGCTCAGACCCTGACCAGCTGGTGTATAAAACTTTGGACCCTGCTGACCGGCTCCCAGGACCAGCCGGAGACTTGTCCCTGAATAGCTACTTAGGTTTGTACGCTCCACCTCTGGGGCCATGGGTGTGGCCCTGGCCTCCCCTCCTTTCCCAGGGGATTTCCTTTCCTGTCCTGCCTTGTGACCCTCTCACCCTGGGAAACATATCAGGCCCAATTGCAGAGCAGAGCTGGTCCATTGACTGGGCTTGAGAAGAGGAGGCCCCACGGGGGTTGGTAGCCTTGGGGATGTGAGCAGGGGTCTTCATGGATGAAGATCTCTGTGCACTGAGAGGGACAGGGATCCGACTCCTGTGACAGACAGTCCTGACCTATGAGGACTTCCTCTGAGGGGTAGTATGAGGTCTAGCCTTGTGAGTAAGTCCTTCACTGTCTCGCCTGCATCCCTCTGCAGAGGAGGAAGAAATGAGGCCTGGGGAAGCCTAACCTGCTTTCTCCCTCTATCTGTGTGAGGCTGCTTCTCCCTGTGAGGAGGTGGGAGTAGGGCAGAGAATGTGCACTGGAGGGGATGGGGGCCTCCTGGTAGTGTGACCCAGGGCCTGTGGCCCACTTTTGCCAGGCTCCTATTTCCTGCTCAGGCACCTGGTCTTCTTTATGGCCGCCTCTTTTTCTCCTGCCCAGTCCCCGAGGTCAGTCTCTGGGCCAGGCGGGTGTAGGAGGCTAGGAAGGGTTGTCTGGCTATAGCTGTGGTGATCTGGGGGCTTCTCCACCTTTTGCCTCCAGACCTGTTGGGATGGGACAGACTGAGGGGGCTGTGGCACACCTGGGCTCTGAGTCTTGGGGAAACACTCACTGGGGAGTCGCCCCTCACCTAGGTTTCTCCATTGACTCTGGGAAGGGTCTGGTGCGTGCAGATGAGCTGAGCTTTGTGGCAGGGGCCCCCCGAGCCAACCATAGGGGTGCTGTGGTCATTCTGCGCAAGGACAGTGCCAGTCGCCTGGTGCCTGAAGCTGTGCTCTCAGGAGAGGTCTTGACCTCTGGCTTTGGCTACTCGCTGGCTGTGGCTGATCTCAACAATGATGGGTGAGAGGGGACAGCGTGTGGGCCTCATGTGGGTCTGGGAGGTGTGAGTGGCTGCCAGCATCTTCTCGTGATTCTGCTGGCCAGGGAGAACCCCGCTGATGGGCTCCTTTTCTCCATAGCTGGTCAGACCTGGTCGTGGGAGCACCCTACTTCTTTGAGCGCCAAGAAGAGCTGGGTGGTGCTGTGTATCTGTACATAAACCAGGGCGGTCATTGGGAAGGAGTCTCTCCACTCCGGCTCTGTGGCTCCCCTGACTCCATGTTTGGGATCAGCCTGGCTGTCCTGGGGGACCTCAACCAAGATGGCTTCCCAGGTGTGGATGGGAACCTGAAAGGTGCAGTGGAGGAGGTGGCTCGGAGGGATGTCTCTGAGCCCAGGGGTGGTCTTCTGAGGGCTCAGAAAGAGAAGGAACTGGGCTCACATCTGAATTTTGCCGTGCTTTGTGACCTTGGGTCAGTTACTTCACCTTTCTCCTTGGAGGGAGTGGCTGAGGGGATTGAAAATAATGTTTGTGAGGTGCCAGGGAATTAGTAGTGGCTCAGTAAAATGGAAAATACATTATCTAGCACAGAGTGACTGAGGAAAATCCCTTTTCCCCCATGGTCCTCAGACATTGCTGTGGGAGCTCCTTTTGATGGGGATGGAAAAGTCTTTATCTACCATGGGAGCAACCTGGGGGTCATCATCAAACCTTCACAGGTGAGGAATGTTGTTGGGATAAGGGAATGGGTGTGAGTAGTGAGAGCCACAGAAAGGCAGGGGAGGGACAGGCATGGAGGAGATGGGGTTTTAGGAGGCTGACTGCTGGTCCCCAGGTGCTGGAGGGTGAGGCTGTGGGCATCAAGAGCTTTGGCTACTCTCTGTCTGGCGGCCTAGATGTGGACGGGAACCATTATCCAGACCTGCTGGTGGGCTCCCTGGCCGACACTGCGGTGCTCTTCCGGTGAGTCCCTCCTCTGCTCTGCCTTCTCTCTGAGGCTGTCAGCCCCTGTCTGAAACTCGGACCCTACTCACATACTCATGTTTTCTGCCCCTTGCACCCAACCCCCCAACTCTAGGGCCAGACCTGTCCTCCACGTCTCCCATGACGTTTCCATTGCCCCACGGGCCATCGACCTAGAGCAGCCCAACTGTGCTGGTGGCCACTCTGTCTGGTGAGGCAGGGTTTGAGGGGAGGGCTGAGGAAGTTGCCAGGGTCCAGTGGCCCCCCACTTCTTTTCTTAGCCCAGCGTGGGGCTGGGTGTTGACCTGTGGCAAGAGCGTGTGGGGTTGAGGCCAGGGTCTTGGTCTCTCAGCCTTGTTTGGCCCAGGAGCCCTTCCTTTTCCTTGACAGTGTGGACCTAAGGATTTGTTTCAGCTATACTGCAGTTCCCAACAGCTACAGCCCTATTGTGGGTGAGTGGTGTCCCCTCCCACTGCTTGCTCCATGGGGTTTCCAGGGTGGGTCACTCCACAGTGGAGAGGGGGCACCTTGGGGACAGACTTATTGAGAGGTTCCCCAACTCATTGACTCCTCTCTTCCACACACCACAGCCTTAGATTATGTGTTAGATGGGGACACGGACAGGAGGCTCCGGGGACAGGTTCCCCGTGTGACCTTCCTGAGCCGTGGCCCAGATGACCCCAAGCACCAGGCCTCAGGCACTGTGTGGCTGAAGCATCAGCATGACAGGGTGTGTGGAGACACCATGTTCCAGCTGCAGGTAGGCACTGGCCCATGGCCTCTGAGTGGCCCTGTACTTGCATGTTGTTTCCTGAGTGCTCTTAGCTGCTTCTTTGCTAGCACCGTGAAAGCTCATGCTGGGATCTGGGTGCTGGACCCTCTTTCCTGGGCTCATCTCCTTACCACTCCCACCTTATTTGTGCCTCCTGTCAACTCTCTATACTCCCTAGAGGTAGAGAGGGCAGGTTCCATTGTCACATCTGTCTTCAAAGCCCTAAAACCCGGTTTTCTCTTCCTCTACTGTGATCTCTCTCCCCCTGCCTTGCTCAGTTCTCTTCCTCTATTCTTCCTGAAGTTCTAAAGTTCAGAATCTGTCCTGGGTCTGGCTGGGTCCTAGAGCAGGGCTGGAACCTGGGGGTTGTTCCACTGAGGAACAAACTTTGTCTTCCTAGGAGAATGTCAAAGATAAGCTTCGAGCCATTGTGGTGACCTTGTCCTACAGTCTCCGAACCCCTCGGCTCCGGCGACAGGCTCCTGGCCAGGGTGTGCCCCCAGTGGTCCCTATCCTCAATGCCTACCAGCCCAGCACCCAGCGGGCTGAGGTGAGCATGGGAAGAGGAACTGGGAGGGTGACGACCCTCACCCCTCACCAGTGACACTCGTGCTCATAAAGCTCTTCTACAATGTTATCCTGGGGTTCCTCATATCATCAGGTGCTGTAACAAGTAGACTCAGGTGTGACATGGCCCACATGACCTTGCATGTGTAGTCCAAAGGAGTGATGCCTCTCTGGCCCAGGCTGCTGTGGGGTCTGTCATCTTCAAATGCAGCTTCCAAGGTCCTAAGCTGTCTCCCTCCCATTCTGTCAAAAGGGGAAACATTTGGCTTCTTGCACGGTCTTCAGGGGCTGAGAAAGGGGAAATGTAGCACATCCTTCACATTCTGGCCCGAGAATTCTGTAAGCATGGTAAAGCTGAGGAAATGCCATCCGGCTGTGGACTAGCCTGCTAGTCTTTCCCACAGCATGCAACACACCATCGTTTTGCAGCTCAGAGTGCTAAGTGATGAGTCCAGTATCATATAGCTAGTAAACAGCGGATCTGGAGTTGCTTAATCCTGTGACACTCTAACCCCCTCTGTGACTTGGAAACGTTTTCAGTCCCTTCCTTGGCCCCGAACTCTTTCCAGATCCACTTTCTGAAGCAAGGCTGTGGTGAAGACAAGATTTGTCAGAGCAATCTGCAGCTGGTGCACTCTCGCTTCTGTGCTCGGGTCGGCGACATGGAGTTCCAGCCCCTGCCCATGTGAGGATGCAGGGAGCGTGAGAGCAGTGCAGGAGCTCAAGGAATGCGAGGAAGGAATGCAGGAAGACCAGGCAGGGGAGGGCCTGAGTTAGGAGACAGAAGAAGGCTGGGAGAACTAGCTGATGATTCAGATACCAAGGCCCTAGTTAGGAATAGTCCTCCACAGCAGACCTGATGGCATCTTACTTACTTACATTTCATTGTTTAGTCTTCAAGACTCTGAAGGAGGAATTATCAGTCCTCTATTTTATGGACAGAGAGCTGAGGCCTAGAGAGGTTAAGTCACTTGCCCAAAGTGAGCAAGTGGTGGAGCTGGGATGAGCACAGAGGTCCCTGACTAGCTCATGCCTAGAAAGACCCAGCATGGCCTAGTCTGTGACGTGGGACCCTAAGGTGGGACATGGTGGCAGTAGTACGTGCTGGAGGATGGAGAGCAGAGCCTGGGAGGGAAGAAGGCTTACTTAGAGTGAGTGGGGTCCTGTCCTGCAGGGACGTGGATGGGACGACGGCCCTGTTCGCACTGAGTGGGCAGCCAGTCATTGGCCTGGAGGTGACAGTCACCAATCTGCCCTCGGACCCAGCGCAGCCCCAGGCTGATGGGGATGATGCCCACGAAGCCCAGCTCCTGGTCACACTTCCTGCCTCGCTGCACTACTCAGGAGTCCGGGCCCTGGACCCTGCAGTAAGTATCTGGGGTAGGGCGGTAAGATCTTACATCCTAGTGTCCCACACTGACTTGACATCTGTCCCACTTCAGGAGAAGCCACTGTGCCTGTCCAATGAAAATGCCTCCCATGTCGAGTGTGAGCTGGGGAACCCTATGAAGAGAGGTGCACAGGTTGGCCCTTTCTGTCCTTAGCCCTATCCAAGCGGCCCCTCCTTATTCTCCTGCCCTCCCCTGACTCTCCTGTCATCCTACCCTGGCCTAGGTCACTTTTTACCTCATCCTCAGCACCTCTGGGATCACCATTGAGACTACAGAGCTAGAAGTGGAGCTGCTGCTGGCCACGTGAGCCTGGTGGGAGCAGGGTGGGGATGCCAGGTCTCTTGGGTTGGCCTTATGGACTGCAAAGGGGACTGCTGCCCATGCATATTCCACCCACACACCAGGATCAGCGAGCAGGAACTGCGTCCAGCCTCTGTTCGAGCCCATGTCTTCATTGAGCTGCCACTGTCCATTACAGGGTAAGCCCTGCCCAAGTGGGCATTTCTGCTGGAGGGTGGAAGCATCAGCACTTCCACACCCTGACCTCAGTTCTGCCTCATTTTATCCTTGTGACCCTCCATTCAACTGGTCCCAAGGTGACCTCAGCCTTTGTTTTGACTCCCTGTCCCCAGGGTGGCCATACCCCAGCAGCTCTTCTTCTCCGGTGTGGTGAGGGGCGAGAGTGCCATGCAGTCTGAGCGGGATGTGGGCAGCAAGGTCAAGTATGAAGTCACGGTAAGTGTTCTGGCTGTGGCCCTCAAAGCCCTTCCCTTCTTGGCGTAGAGAATGAACTGAGCTCAGGACTGGGGCTTTTCTCCCAGGGGGCAGCATGGTGGGCCTCAGCTCTGCAGTGGACTTGTGCTGTGGACAGATGTTCTGGATGAGGCCTCTGCTGACCATTTGCTGGTCATTTGACTTGGACACTGATGGAGTTTAGAGAAGATTCCTTGTTGGGGCCTTGCCTCAGGGATGGGACCTTGCTGCAGAGTGGCCATCTGTCCTCAGAACTCTGCCTAGCATGGCTGGGGCCTCACTCATACCTTCTTGGGACACCTCCGGGTTTCCCTGGGTTTGTTCTGGTGTTAGTCTGGTGTAAAACCTGAATATTGGTGGAATCTGTGCTTCAGGAAGGAGGCAGGATGTCAGGTATGTCCCCTTCATCTCTCTGAGCTTAGGACCTTCTCAGAAACCAAGCCTCCTCCTACCCCCTGCATGTAGTGATGGCCCTGCCCCCAGGGTGGGCTGAGATAGCAATTGAGACTGGGTATGGTTGTGTGCACCTGTAATTCCAGCACTTGGGAGACTGAAAACAGGAAGATCACGAGTCCGATCTGTGTAGTGAGACCCTGTAGACCCTGCAGACCCTGTCCTAAATACAAAAAAGCAAGCAAGCAAGCAAGAAAGAAATTGAGGGCCAGGGAGATAGCTCAGTAGAATAAGTACTTGCCTGGCAAGCACAGGGTCCTGAGTTCAATCCCTGGTACCACACAATAAAATAAATAAAATAAAATAAAATAAAATAAAATAAAATAAAATAAAGTAGCATATCAGTATAGGGCTGGGGAGATGGCTCAATAGAATAAAGGCTTCCCTGGCAAGCACAAGGGCCTGAGTTCAATGCCCGGTTCCACCAAAAAAAAAAAAAAAGAAAAAGAAAAAGAAACTGAATCCCCTTCCCTCATACTGTCTTTCACCCACAGGTGTCCAACCAAGGCCAGTCGCTCAACACCCTGGGTTCTGCCTTCCTCAACATCATGTGGCCCCACGAGATTGCCAATGGGAAATGGCTGCTGTACCCCATGCGAGTGGAGCTGGAGGGTGGGCAGGGGCCTGGACAGAAAGGGCTCTGTTCTCCCAGGCCCAACATTCTCCAGCTGGTGAGGCTTAGGCAGGGGTGGGTGGGGTTAGATGCCTTTGGGAGGTTGTCATGGGGCTGGGGTCTTGGGTGTGGGTGGTGGGAGGAGGTGCGACTTCAGGATTGCTGCATTTGGAGTCACACTCACTGGTCCTTCCCTCCACACATCCAGGATGTGGACAGCAGGGATAGGAGGCGGCGAGAGCTGGAGCAGCCCAAGCAGCAGGAGTCTCATGAGCAGCTGGAGCCCAGCACATCCTGGTGGCCAGTGTCCTATACTGAAAAGAAAAGAAATGTTACCCTGGTGAGGGAGCATGCCTGTCATCCCAGCTTTCTGTTCTAGCCTAGCCTGGGCAATTTGGTGAGAACTTATCTTACAGTAGCCCAGTGTGATGACAGTTTTGGGTTTAATTCCCAGTACTGGAAAAAAAAACAAAAAAAAACAAAAAAGACTTTGAGCAAGTAGGCAAGATAGTTTTCAGCATAACTTGAGGTTGAGGAGACTGCTGCAGCTGCTGATACTTTAGAGCCCTCAACTCCAAGTGCTCAACTTGACTTACAGCCATTTAACCAAGCCATTGATTCCCTTCACATTTATACAAAACATCACACTTCATAGGGCATGGAATGAGGTCAGCAGCCTCTGAGGGCTGTTTGTTCTTTTGAGCTCAGTTGGCACGTGATTTTCGTAATGTCAAAAGCATTACAATTTTTGAAGTTCTCATAAGTACAATATATTACATGTGATTCATTAACTCTCTCTTTTGTGTAGTTTTTGCTTTTGCTTTTCCCCTTTCCTACTTGTTTCACCTAGTTTTGTTTATGATGTGGACTTTGTGAACAAAGGAGAACAACATGCCACACGCGGTCTCCTGCTAGAGCTGGTAGTGCTGGGGGTAAGAAGGGGTTGCCCACGAAGATGAGAGCGTGTTGGGCTTTGCTGTCAGGAGGTGGAGGTGGAGCCCAGGTGTGCGGGCCATCCAGGCCATCCTTCCCTCCTTGCCGGTGAGCATGACCTCAGGCAAACTGAAGAACTCAGGGCTCTGGAACCTGAGGATCTGCAGGACTTATTGCCTTGAGAGGCCTCCCTAATACGGACTTTGAAATAGATTTTATTTATTTATTTATTTATTTTTGCAGAGCCAGGGATTGAACTCAGGCCCTTGCACTTGCCAGACAAGCACTTATTCAACTGAGCTATCTCCCCAGCCCCATGTTTATTTATTTTTTAATTGACAAAAATGACATATATTTATCAGATACATTTTATTTTCTTTTTTAATGTATTTGGCACAAGGTGTCACTGTACAGCTTGGACTCATAGTGATCCTCCCTGTTTTCGGCTCTGTAGCACTGGGATTATAGGCGTGCACCAACACTGCCAGTTTTGGTGGATGGACCAGTGTGCGCAGGGTCCTGGGGCCAGCATAGCGTGCAGTACTGGGGATCGAACCCAGGTCCTTGTTCTTGCCAGGCAGGCACTTAGATCGCCAAGCTATCTCCCCAGCTCCATATACTTATTTTTTTATGAAGCAAACACTTAAAATCTATTTTTAGGGATTTAGAAAAATGTAGTGTTATATAAAATAATAGATCTCTTGGATTTATTCTTCCGGCCTAACTGAGACTTCGTCCCCTTTGGCTAACATCTTCCTGCCCCGTCCCCACTGCTCCACTCTGGGTCATAGACATTCTAATCTCTACTTTGATGAGTTCAGCTTTCTTAGATTTCTCCTATAGGTGAGATCATAAAGTATTTGTCTTTCTGTGCTTGGCTTATTTTACTTAATATAGTATCTGAAATGGATTCTTTTACATGAAATTAAGGCAGATGACCTTGCTTTTAAACAAATTGATGAAAGGTTCTCAAATTGCTTAAAGGAGGCAAAATAAAAGATAACTCAAGGGGGCTGGGGAGATGGCTCAGTGGAATAGGCGCTTCCCTGGCAAGCACAAGGGCCTGAGTTCAATCTCCGGTTCTGCAAAAAAAAAAAAAAAAAAAGATAACTCAAGGACTTCAGTTGTTCTCAGAGCTGTTTTTCTATCTATGGACAGTGGCATAATGAATATAATGTATCTTTTAGGCAAATGGGTTATTGATGGTGCATGGGCCAGATGGCTTTAGGTTAGGTGAGAAAAGGGCATGGTTTGAGTCCTTTTCCCCCAGCAGTTCTGGGACAGGAAGCTGTCCTCCTTCACTGATATTAGGCTTAGCCAAAGATGTGGTTTATTTATTTATTTATTTATTTATGTGTGTGTGTGTGTGTGTGTGTGGCCAGCTCAGCCCACCAGGGGACGGGGCTGGCTGGCATGTGGTGCTGGGGGATTGAACTGCGGTCCCTCTGCTTTGCCAAGCTTGTTCCAAGTAGGTGCTTTAGACCACTGAGCCATCTCACCAGCCCCAAAGATGTGGTTTTGCTGACTACAGACCTGACTTCAAATATCTGCTCCAATACTTACTTGCTTTGCTAGTTCTGAGACCTGAAGCAGGCTGGTCATCTTTTCTCCTTTGAAAAATAATGTAATAATATGCACCTTGCAGGAGTTGTGGAGTATAAATGAAGTAAGTGCCGGGCAGGAAGTAGGTGCTCAATAAATGAGACCATTACTAGGTAGCGTAAGCTTTAAATGGGGAGGCTACTTTGTTTATTGCTGTGATGTATGAGACCTCCTGTCTTCCAGCCCTGTGCATTTCAAAGGCAAATAGCTCAGTTTGGAATAGGTAGTTATTTGGGGTCATGGGATGACTTTGCAAAGACTTACTGGAGGAGGAGAATTTGAGGCTAGATAAGGAACATAGGAGAAAAAAAATACATATATATATATATATATATATATATATGCTTATACAAAATAGTCAGCATAGATAACACACCTATACTCTTTTTTTTTTTTTTTTTTGCTGAACGGGGGATTGAACTCAGGCCGTTGTGTTTGCCAGGGAAGCGCTTATTCCACTGAGCCATCTCCCCAGGCCCTACCCTCTCATTTGTGTCCCCCTTTTATGTTTGCTTTTGTCAGGGATGGATATTCCATTGCCATTCATGTACTGTGGGTGCATGGATTCAGCAAGGTAGTCCAGTGTGGTCCAGCAGTCTATGATAGTGGTGGGTTGTCCGCATGACTGGTGGTGTCAGAGGTTGTTGACTTGAGCCTTTTTCAGCTCAGCATATTAATATGGCTTTGCTTTTTGTACCTTGTTTTTGTGCTTGTCTGCTGGATGGTTAAGACAGATGAAGCAAGACCTATGTAACAAGAAATGTGGCTTTTGTGTCTGACAAGGTCGGTTGAATCCCCTCAGGATTTACCCTGAAACCCTGTACAGCAGATCTTTTGTCAGTGTTGGCCATGTGGATGAGTTGTGGCCAATCACAACTCATTTTGGGGTCATGAGGTGACTGTGAAAGCCTGGGAGAGTGTTTTCTCTCTGTGTGGCTCTCCTTGGGTGCACTCTGCATCGTTGATTTCTTTCCTCTGTGGCCCCATGGTCTCCTTGATCAGAAGATTTGGTACTCCACTGAGTTGCAGGATGTTATAGTGCAGGTTCTCTTGTGTCCTGGGTCCTCACTGATCTTGCAGGGCTGGAGCCAGGATGTTGGCTGTCCTTGTGGCCCTTTTCTTTCCTCTAATTTTGTGGTCAGAGGAAGTCTTGGGTTGTTGACCCTCTAGAAGAGAAGCTCAATGATATTATTGCCCTAAAACATAGGCTGTTGAGCTTGGCGTCGGTATCTGTCTGAATGTCAAACACCTTGGACATGGCATGGAATGGGTATTTTCCACCAATCATTGATATGCTGGACTTTAAATCTGTACACAATGTGAAAAAAATAAAAAATGGTTAAAAAAAAAAAAAGGAACATAGGAGAAATGGAAGGCTCAGTGGCATGGGGCTGAGCAGCTGAGTCCTGCCCATCCTTGCCCACAGGACTGCGCCCGGGGCACAGCCAGATGTGTGGTGTTCAGCTGCCCACTCTACAGCTTCGACCGTGCAGCTGTGCTGCATGTATGGGGCCGCCTCTGGAACAGCACCTTTCTGGAGGTAAGGCCACTTTCAGGGCTCCACGCTGGCTTTCTTCTTCTGCAAAAGTCCTTTTGAAATTCACTTCTGCCTCTCCCTCATTCAAATGAAACACACTTAACCCCAGCTGGGCAGAAACATCCTCTGGGTTGGGCACCATTCCACTTACGATTTCTGAATGGGAGTCATGGGGCATTTAGAAGAGGGTGTCCTTCCATGCTTCCTTAGGAATACTCGACTGTGAAGTCCGTGGAAGTGATTGTGCGGGCCAACATCACAGTGAAATCCTCCATCAAGAACTTGTTGCTGAGAGATGCTTCCATGGTGGTGAGCTGCAGGGTGGGGCTGGGCAGGTGGGGCACCCTCTTTTCTCCTGCCCTTACGCCACTGACCTCTTGCTCCCCAGATCCCAGTGATGGTCTACTTGGACCCCATGGCTGTGGTGGCAAAAGAGGTCCCCTGGTGGGTCATCCTCCTGGCTGTGCTGGCCGGGCTGCTGGTGCTCGCACTACTGGTGCTGCTCCTGTGGAAGGTGAGGCTTGGGCAGCATGGGGCTGCTGGGACTGCACTTACTAGTCAGGCGGGCAGCCGCCACGTGCTCCTACACACTTGTGTATTCAGTGACTCCCTGACTGCTTACCCTGCTTACACCACGTGCTCTTTCTGGCTCTGGACATTTCAGAGCCAAATTAGGTATAGACCCTGTCCTTGGGGTTGCATAGATAGTGAGGGTGGTAAGCTCTGTAGCTAAGGACAGATCAGGTATTGAGTTGAGAAAGTATGAGTTCAGAGAGAGGAAGAGAGGAGGAAGTGACCCAGGAGCCAGCCTTAGAGGGAGGTGGGCTGGAGCCAACCTTAGAGGGAGGTTGGGGCGTAGGGTTCGCATGTGGGCCAATGGAGTAGGTGGGATCTGAGGCTCCCAGAAGGACCATGGAGACAGGGAAGTGTGGGATTATTTATTTATGTGGCAGTGAAGGTTACAAAGGAAACTATAGCCCGAAAAAACAGCAAGTGTGAAGAACTAGCTCCAGGAGTTGCTGGCAGATCTGATCTTGGTTTCCACGTACCAGGCTCCATGTGTATACAGAGCTGTAGCAGAATCTTATTTGCATCTGGGACCCACCATAAAAGGACACATGTGCCTATGTCAGTATGGGGGGACTCATACAGGTCACCAGGGTTCATGTTCCCTGAGCCGAATGTACTGGGAGCCATGTGAAGAGCTGTGCACACTTGGGCCTCCGTGGAGAATGCCCTCCCCACTGTGAGACTGGTCACAGACCACCCACACTTTGATAAGTGTGCATCATCAGAGGAGCAGCTCTGGAGTGGTGGCCATGCTGTTGGGAACCTGCTCAGTCTTAGAAAGTTCAAGGCCTTCCTGAAGCTGGCCCCAGATGCTCACCCCTGAAGAGAAAAAAAAAACCAACCCTCTCCTTCCTCAGCCTTCCCATCCTAGCCTCTTTTGCTCACCTCCTCCCTCAATATCCCAGTGTGGCTTCTTTCACCGGAGCAGTCAGAGCTCATCTTTCCCCACCAACTATCACCGAGCACATCTGGCTGTGCAACCCTCGGCCATGGAAGTTGGGGGCCCAGGGACTGTGGGGTAACTGCTGTGTGTGCACGTGTCTGTGCAAGAGTGTATGTGTGGGTATGTGTGTGTGAGAGCAAGTTTGGCCCCTACTGTTCTGGGGGCCAGGAATGTGCAGGGTGAAGAAATGAATCTGCATGAGGATGATGTGAGGTCTAGAACCGAGAGGAAGGGTAACTAGAAGGGGGAGGTCAGGTGGGTAAGTAGACACCATGGGGGGCATGCGCAGAGGGTGGGGTGGGCCCGTGGACTGTAAGCATGTGTGTGTGGGAGGATCCGTGCATGTGCTCTTCTTGGGTGTGAGTGTGAGACGAGTGGGCAAGAAGATGCTGTGTGCCCAAGCATGGAGGGGTGTTGGGCATTTCTAGCGTGAGTGTAAGGACACTTACCACTGGGGTAACTCGGGCCAGAATGCTTGTGCCTGGGCAGGAGTTAGATTGGAGTAGTCATGGACTTGAGGGCCCTGGCTCAGTGGCTGCTGCCTCGTGTATGAGCACATGGCATGTAAGTATGTGTGGCCTGGGGACATCGCTCCAGGTAGGCTGGGGTCTAGGAAGCCACTTTCATTACCAGCTGTTGCTGATGTTCTGGTTTTATGTTGTTGGGCCTCCTCAGCAGCCTGGATGTGTAGAAAGCTTGGGAGTCCCTAATTCAAGGCTCTGTCTTTTTGCTTGGTATCTGCCACCTGGTGTCCCTTTGCTGTGATTGAGAACCTGGGCTCATCACACTGGACAGGGCCACGTCACCCTGTCCCTGCCTTGGTTGGTTCCCTGTGGCCCAGGGGTGTGAAGGGAGGGCCCAGAGCTGTGCTGGGTGTTTGCTGTAGGAACCTCAGCCCTGCAAGTGACTCATGGTCTGACCGGTGTCTTACAGATGGGATTCTTCAAGCGGGCAAAGCACCCCGAAGCCAGTGTGCCCCAGTACCATGCGGTGAAGATCCCTCGGGAAGACCGACAACAGTTTAAGGAGGAGAAAACAGGCACCATCTTGAGGAACAACTGGGGCAGTCCCCGGCGGGAGGCGCCCGATGCACACCCCATCCTGGCTGCTGATGGGCACCCAGAGCTGGGCCCTGATGGGCACACTGTGCCGGGCACCTCCTAGCTTCTTTTCTTGCAGCCTGGCCCATGGCTGCCTCCACGCCTTCCTGAGATGGCTCCTCAGGATGGAGAGGGTGGAGAAAGTTCCTGGTATCACGTCACGACTTGGCAGGACCTGCTTTCTCAGGGGCACAGCCCCTCCCACCCACAGAACTCCCCTCCCCCCCATGTCCCCTTAGAATGCTGTGAGACAAGAGGGTTAAATCAGGGATGGGGTGGGGCAGGGCGAGGTGGCAGGGATGTCCTGGCACTGGTGCAGAGAAGGGAGCCTATCCCTTCCCCTCCCATTCACCCCTTGTAACCTGTCTCCCCCAAAGTGCCTTAGCCAGAGGGCCAGGGAGGAGACTGTGTCACTGACTCAGGGGCTCTTCCCTCCCTAGGTCCCCTCTCTTCTGACCTTAGTTTGCTGCACCAATCTAGTGGGTTTTGTCTATTTATTAAAAAATATTTGAGGACAAAAATCTCTGGCTTCCTTACTGAGTGTTGTTCCCTCATCACCAGGGCCCGAGTCTCTGGCACCCTCACAGCCCAGGACAAAGGTCCTGTGGGAGGGAGACTCAGGTGGCCTGGCAGGGATCTGGGCACTGTGGCTCCTGTGAGCAGTTCCAAGCAGCACGTGGGTATATGCTCGGAGGTGGCTGGGGGAATCCACCCCTGGGAATGAGAGACCAGGAACAGCTGTTGTGTAGAAGGTGGTGGGCAAAGTTCGGGAATTTGTGGTTGTAGACAGGATGTACCTTTTCTGGTGAGGGTGGGGATAGAGCTTTGTTGCTGGGGAAGAGAATTGGAATCTAGAGATTTTCCCTGGCAGAGGTAGGCACAGAGGAGCAGGGGTTGGGTTCATTCTTTGCTTGATTCCTTTCTGAAGGAGAGAGACTGGGTGGTGGTGGGGGTGGATGGTTGTTTTGATTGGCAGAGGGGAGGGAGCCAGTGACTGCCTTGGGGACTGAAGCTTATTTCACAGCTTTTCCCATGATGTGGGGCCCAACAGGCAGCCATTTGATGGGAGGAGGGTGCCATTCTATTTGGACCTCAGAGAAATGGGCCTTCTTAAGATCCTTCCAGGTCTCTCTGGTGAGGTAGCAGCCATCCCCAATGTGTTTCCAGGTGGGCTCGAAAACTTGCTGCCACATCAGGGCCCTGCTTCCTTCAGGCTCAGCCACGTGCTCCAAGAAGAACAGTACTCCTCCCTGGGAGGGAGAAGAGAGTTAATGTCTCTTATCTGCTCAAGTCAGGTGTGGTGGTGCACACCCATAATCCCAGCACCCAGGAGGCTGGGGCAGGAGGATCATTGAGAATTCCTGACCAGCCTGGGCTACAAAGTAGGCTCAAGGATAGCCTGAGGGGCTGGAGAGATGGCTCAGTGGTCTAAAGCACCTACTTAGAACAAGCTTAGCAAAGCATCAGGGACCGCGGTTCGATCC